GGCTCCTGTGTCGGCGTGTCGCTAGCTATAGCGGCTATAGGCGATGTCCAATCCAGTAATATAGATTAATGGCTGTGAACTGAAAACCCACTTTTCCACAATGTGGAGGGGTAGCATATCTTTAGTAACACAATATGCCACAGGCTCACATGAGCACTTTATAGTGTGAGTGTGTCGCACACAAAAATGTCATCACGTGGCACTAAATGTAAATGTAGTAAACGCAAATATTAATTGTTCATTGTTCTTTTGACAATTAATTGCAAACGATACGATTTTGCCCAACCCCACTTGCAATCATACAACCCCAATTACGACACAGTTTAGTCACTGYGTGAAATGTAAATCAAAATAGAATACAATGATTTGCATATTTTATAAACCCAACCCATATTTCATTCACAATTCATGCACAGATCAAATTGTTAAAAAAAAGGCATTGAAAGTTCTTGAAGGAATGCTCGGCGCATGCTGCCTCTCATCATCTTATGCTGTGAAATGATGGAGTTGAGGCTGTTTTGATGAAATGCTGATAAAACCAGGTGTCTTCTTGTATGAGGTGGACTCAATAAATGAATCAGTTGTAGATATTGTAGTACCTGTTTCCGTTTCTTGGTTTCTTTTTGGCTGCATGCAATAAATAGGAATGTTTCAGTATTCATTCATGCACACCCCAAGAAGTGAGTATATTCATATACGCCACTGACAGAATCAGAGAAAAGTATAAAGTAAACACTCTGAGGTGGGGCTCATGAGCAACCAAATTATCCCAACATTAAGATGTCTTTACTCAGCTGTAATATCATTCAAATTTATATTACTGGGATGACCAGCACTTCAACCTCAGAGACATGGACGACAATGATTGCTGTTTCAAAGTCAGAGCTCACCTGAACTAAAATCACCAACAAATTTAAGCTACTAGATGATATTAGTGATTTCTCCAAAACAGCGATGGAGACAGATCGTTTCTGTACTTTCTAACTGCCTAAACAGCAAAAAGACAGCAGAGCTTATGCATAATTTACTCCTATGCAAAACAAACAACACAACGTTTTTTTTTTTACTACAAGCAGCTTTATGAGAAAGAGGACAGTCGCATCAAAGAGGCAGAGCTGCAATCTAGGAATCTGAGAAGACAACATCTGGAAGAACAAACAAATTATCCACCAAAAAGAGCAATAAAAATGCTAAATCTGCTACTGTAAAAACACCTCAAACTATAAACAGCCTCATTTCACGACCCCTGACAGCAAACTTCAGAACTGGTTACATTCCAAAGCAAAAGGGCTAAAAAACAGTTGTTTCTGTACTCACGTCAGGCAGCAACTCATCATTTCTTCYAGCATGGGAACTTCAAAGTGAGTAAGAAACTGGGCTGTTTTTGGTAGAGAAGCAGCGTTTTTACATGATTCTCGGTGTGTCCGTCTGTGTGCACGTCTCAAGCACCAGCAGCAAACTGTCTGCAGCAGATATGAGCTGTGTGCTGAGAAGGGAGCATCCACCCAAAAAAAAAACAACAATGGTATCACAGCTGACAGGGAGAGATGAGGAAGAGGGAGATCAGCTCAGAGAAAGTCACAATGACAGCAAAGATAGAGACATATTAAAAAAAACTGCAAGAGTGAGCAGCGGTTTTGCGTCGTGGGTTTTAATTTTCCAATCARCGCTGAGGACGAGGAAATGCAATAYATGGTGGGGAGTTTTCCAACAATTTGGCACCATTTCTGAAAGGTGAAACACAGAAAAGTGACAAYCAAGTGTGGAGGAAATGAGCCAGTGGCTGGTGTCAAGTCAGACTCCTGTCGCAGATTTCACAGGACAACAGCGGAGGCGAGGGAGGCTTCTGAATTATTGATTTTGTTGGAAAATGAGGCAGCTTTTGCTTTCATGGTTGTGTAGCATCCTGAAAACCCCACAGCTGGACAGTTCAGGTTCATGGACACAAAACACAAAACATTACCAGTTTTCTTTCTTCCATTTTGAGCTTTTCAGAAACACTTGATAATTTATTCACAAACACACACGCACGCACGCATGTACTTGAATCAAAGTGAGGACTTCGCATTTATGCCTAACCCAGACATTTCCCTAACCTGAGCAGAAACTTAATTCACACCACACCTCTAAATGTAACTAGTAGAGCGCAGCTGCAAAAAAAGAGATGGAAAACTGATTAATTCCAACATTCAAAACATTTTAATAATCAATCCTAGAACCACTAGTGAGGACATATATTTTTAACCAACAAAGTGAGGACATTTTCCCAGTCCTCACTTTGTTYGTTTGTCTTCCATCTCTCMTTTACAGATTGTGTAAAACTCYGCCGCTCRTTTATTAACTAACACYTGTAAACATGAWCATATCACTCCTGTCCTCTCTTCTTTGCACTGACTCCCAGTTCAGTTTAGGATCCAGTTCAAGCTGTTGTTTTTTGTTGAAAGCTTTGAAWGGCCTTGCGCTGCTCTACATTACAGAACTTTTGAAAATCCACCAGCAGAGCATTACGGTCTGCCGGTCAACATCTGCTCGAGGWGCCTCGCTCTAACTGCAAGAAATAGGAGGWCTGATCCTTTTCTGTCGCTGATCCAACAGCATGGAATAGTTTTCCCTATGAGTTGCRTGCTGTCTCTGACCTGGTTCTGTTCAAAGCCAAACTTAAGACCTATTTATTTAAAAGGGCATTTGATGTTTAACTTTTAGCAGTTTCTTTTTCTTTTTACCCTCTTTTATTGTGGTTGTGCTTTGTACTTGCACTCATTTATTATAAACTGTTTTTA